ATATTTTTAATATTATGATTAATTATTTAAAAATATTAAAAATATCAATCAAAGTAAATAAAACTTATGTTACCTCGACAAACTTATGAGTAGGGTAACGACATACTAAAGATGGCCAAACTGAACAATGTGAAACGAAATCCCCAAAGCACAAGCTCACATGACATACATTTCAACGGCAAAATTATACGTTATCCCTTTGAACTTATTTTAAATTTTTAATTAAGTTTTTAAATTTTTATTAAAGTAAATAAATTTTTAAATTTATTAATTTGAATAATTTAATTCTCTTTTTTATTGTAGATTTAATATGTATTTGTATTTTATTTGTGGACAAAAAATTAATATGTTGCACTTGGGTTTTCGATTCAATGGTGTTAAGTCATGTATAAGTGCATTTCTTCATTCCAGAACAACAGTTCGAATCCACCCCTTGCAAATTTGTTTAAAAAAATTAATATGTTATTATGTATATAGTTAATATTGATTTTATCCATACAAATAAAGCATAAATTAGTATTAAATTCACCATATAAAAAAGAATTAAATTATATAAATCATGAAATTTAAAGATTTATTTATTTTAATAAAAATTGAAAATTTTAACGAAGAATTTGGATTAAATCCAGGGGCTTTTGCCTATTCCAATTGATGTTTACACTTTACAATTACAATTCAAAAGTCCAAACCTGACTTCCGTTGGTCATTGTCAAAGTCTACCAAACCAACCATTAATTTTTTTTTTTTTAAATATCTACCAAACCGAAACCCATTGTAAAAGCAATTGTATGTTAGCATTAAAGTTGGATTCATTAATAAATAAACATATTTTATAGGTAAATTTTAACATTTAAGTTTTAAAATTAACACTTAAAAAATTAATTTTTTTTAAATATATTAGGTGAATAATAAAGATATACTGTTAAGATCGCTCAAAAAAATTAATTGATGTGCAAAAATTGATTTAGAAAACTATAATTTTAAATAAAAAAATTCATTGTCAGTTTCTTGAAAAAAAAAAGGTGGGCATGGTAGCCCAAGTCTCAGTCGCTTCATTCTTTAGAGTCGAATGTGGTGGCTTTTAGACCTATATGTCTACACCAATAATTTTCTATTACTCACAATTTCTTCTCAGAAAGACCAAGACCACATCATCCATGTTGAAAATTTAAACAACTTTGCGTGGACGGCGTAGTGCTTTCCAGCCTACCCCCAACTACACACGTATAATTCACGAAAGACACTATGTTCCAAGAGAAATTCATTTGTAACTATAAGATTAGAATTAGTGCATTTGAAAACAATTTGGAAAAAACATAGTCCAAAATACTGCAAATTTCAAGGCAACTGGTGTTAATCCATCAAACTTTCTCAAGAAATTCTCTCACAAAGTCACGGGACATCAAGTAAATTGTGACTTTACAGGTCACAGGATCTCACTGTAAGAACAACTAACCACATTGATGCGAAGTAGGGTCATAGAATTGACTTATAAGTCATAATAGCACCATAGTGGGGTGGGTGGAAACAGTTGTCACAACTCTTACCCTGTGGCCTGCCAGGTGCAAATGCTTCTATGGCTATCTCAATTGCAGTCTCCGCCTCATCCACCAAAGTGAAAATGCAACACAGGCTTAGGTTAATGAGGTGCAAGGTGTAATGAAGAGTGCGGCAATACATATTCTGCTGCCATATTACGTGGTGGCAATGGAATTTGCATTGATTTCCAAATTCATTTTGTGAAAAACGCAGCTATGATTACCATAGTTCAGACAACCAACTAATATAATTTGTTTCCCCATCTTATGCTACCCAAACATTACATGTTATTAAAGAAGAAAAGAAACACTTAACCAAAGGAAATCAACAAATTTCTCTTATTTTTTTCTTTTTTCAAACATCACTATTGAAGGATTAAAGCTAAATTACTGAAGTTAATAGCTTTTATTCATTGCATCTTATAAACGGTCATACTCCATTTATGTCTATATGAATGTGTTTCGTCTAAATCCATGATTGATAGCTCTAAATACTATTAAACCAGGATGGGAACATAAAAATGGAAAGCAGGCAGAAGAGAACAAAACAAATGAAAGAAAAATGTAGTGGCATTGGCATGGAAGAATTCATACTTGGCTAAAATGAAATGCTAGTCTGCACGAACCATCACACCACTGTAACCATGGATTTGTGTTTTCACCAAATGATTGCAACTACTTTTCTCTATGGTGTACTGGGTACTAAAAGCATAGACAGAAAAGGGTAAAGAACTTCTCAGACTACTGCACCGCAATTGTATTAAGATCACAGGAACCTTAACTAAGCTGCCACATCCCACCACATATTAGAATGATTTAGAATGCAGATGCAGCACCAATTTCACATTCTGGATCTGAGGTTCAATTCAGTCAATATAAATGTCTGTTTTCAGTTTCTGTTTAGCCTCACCAGCAACTGTCATGAGTCATGACTACCAAAACCATGCCAAGAAACTTAGAATCAAGATTTTAGAGCCATAATTTTCCTTCTAAAAATCTCTCTTAAACTTTTTATAAAAGTGAGCGAGCCATGAACAAATATTATAACTACTTTTCCAAGCAACTAAGAATAACAATTCAAGAATCATATTCACCCTTGTATAGATCAATGTATCTTAAACTCGCAAATAAAAGTGAGTGAGCTATTAAACAAAGCTATACGTATCAGAATGCTAGAACTTGTAAACCCCCTCCTTTTTCCTTCTTTTGAGAAGCACATTAAGCTCTTGAGTTTAGATGTAATAGTTTGTTCGTTCAGAAGTTAATGTCCCTAAGGCTCTTCAGTTTTAATGTAATTGCCATAGATGAAACTAGAAATCAAAGGGGCATCTAGGTTACGTGTTTCCTAAATCCAGATAGAAAGAAACTCAATTCAACACAATCCCATTATAATAACCAAATAACTCACTTAGACATTTCAACAAACACATGGAACACACCAAAAAACTCAATATAGGTCAGCCTGTTGAGCATCAAACGAAACCATAAACACAAATTCAAGCCAAATCACATTGCAACAACTATACTCTCAAACAGAAATCAAGATTCAATTATCAAAAACCAAACGATACAATGGAGTAAACAATGCAAAATCTGGGAATCCAATACAAACCCATTATTTAACTTCTCTAATACTTCCCTCATCATACTCCGGCGAGGTCTCAACGATGATTGAATCAGATAAATTACTTTCCTTTTGTTGTTGTTGTTGCGGGTTCATCATCTGTTCCATGTCTCTTATTCTAGTCCTCACGACATTTGTAACCAAAACTGCAAGAGAAAATGGGTCTAATGAATATAAAAGTACACAGAAATGGAGGGTAATTTACGGCGTCCAGAGGAGAGGGGAGTGTACTAGCAGCGGTGCCGATGGTCCAGAGCCAAAGAATCTTTACGCCTGGGCTCATCTTCTCCCTCGCCATTTTTCTCCTTTCTAGTTTGTCACTGCGCAGGAGGAAGGGAGGGATTTGGATTCCGAAGAACAAACTTTCATTTCGACACCCGAACTTTCCATTTTTCCCATTTAAGCCCTCACATAATTTTTAGTCAAGTAAGCCATTGAACAATTTAATGTCATTTTTATGTCCCTTTAACTATTTAATTTGACCAATAGCCCATTTTGTTGCATCCGGCCCTTGGGCCAAGTGGTCTCTGACCACATGATGCATTCCACCCTGGCAGAGTTCTACCCGCCCCATGTAAGCTTGTTAAAAAAAAAAAAAAACCCATTTTGTTATTTAATCTTTAAAGAAAATAAAAAATTAGAACATCCAAACATTTAATTACAACTATAAAATATACAAGATGTAGTGTAAGTCCAAGTCCTAATTAGGTTTCATTTAATTATTATATAATTATAATGGAACATGTTGACATTTTTGTTTCTATTTATGAAATATATTAAACTAATTAACTTTTAAATCTTGTGCCTTACATTACGAGAGTCAATTGGAATCCCCAAGAATAAGGAATATCGTATTGCACACCTTAATCAAGAGTAATGGCTAGCTCTCAAAGGCATGGACGCCATGGAGTGCTGGATTGGTTGGCATTGCCTTGGTCTTAAGAGTATCAATCAATGGTCCTTAGCTAGGGAAGCGCCAGCCAGTACTTCCTTAAAGTAAACAGCGAAACTCTTATTTATATTTTACACATTATTTTATTTTTATTTGTATTTTACATATTATTTTATCTTGTAATCAATATTTTTAAAATTTTTTTTGTCAATTACTTTTATGATTTAAAACTCATAAAAATTCAAAAATTAATAATCAAACTTTTTTTCATCTTAATTTTATTGATAATTTGATTTTTTTTTATAAGTTTTAAATTATGAAAAACGTTGATTAGGAGTAAAAATTAATTATGTAGGGTATTGACTAATAAAAAAAATAATATATAAAATGCAAATAAAGGGTTTGATGAAAGTAAAAATGTTAATCATTCTCCCTTGTTGATCTTCCATTTCTAAGTTTTCTTTCTTTTCTAGCTGCCATGGTTACTACAAAATGATGATTTGAATTAGTTTTCATTGTGGGTCTTCAAGATAATATTGAAGTATTTTATTCTAATTTTACTCATAAAGATTTTCCTTTTTCCTTTTAAATTTTAGGTTATCGTAGAGCGACGCCCTCAACGAGGGAGAAAGAAGATAGGAAAGCGATCAAATCCTCGTGTTGTACCATGGAGGAATATCAGGATTGGACTCTTACAGGATAAGCCAAAAATAATAGCTGCAAGGGAGAGAGAAGATAATTTTTTTTCCCAATATTTATGTTGATAAAAGAGATAAATAAACCATATAATTTAGACTAAGGGTTTGTTGATCTGAGTAAAAGAAACTCGATTCCCTTTAAATAAAATATCGAGTTCAAGTTTTGTAAATAAAAAAACAAGTGTTGAAATAATTTCTCTTTTAATGGGATCGAACGCAATTCGATTCCAGATTAATGGGATCTAATGTTATTATCAAATACTAAAAGGTTAATATCAAAAAAAATAAATCATATAATTTGGCGGTAGTGCATTAACGAAGAACGTCGCTTCTTGATGAGGTGCAAGGTGCCCGTTTGGTATACGTAAGAATCTCAAGATTTGCCTGGCAAGTTTAATTTAGGGAAAACAGTTTTGTTTTTGGTATTTTCTTGTTACAAACTTTATTAGGAAACTCTGCTTCCTGGAGGAAAAAGAACTAGGCTTAAGGTTGGATTCAGCTCCTTCTTGGTTAAAATCATGGGAAGAAAACACTTTCTTAAATTTTTTAGCACTTATAACCAATTATCTCAAGTTTCTAATTGATTATTTTAAAACTTGAAAGTACGTATAAAATTGGTTATATTTTATATAGTCAACTATTTTTATCAAAATAACTGATTATTTTAGTTTAATTTTATAATTGATTACTTTAGTGTTATTATCAAGTATATTTTTTTGTATAATTAATTATACAACAGAAAAAAATATACATAGATCTACAAGTCTTATGAAAACAATCAATTATTTTAAATAATATTATTGACTATATTAAAAATTAAAAATGTATTTTACAGGTCAAATAACCG